AAATTTACCATTTTAACCATTTTTAAGTGTACAGTTCAGAGACATTAAGTATACTTGCACTGTTGTACATAAGCACTATCCACTAGAACGTTTCATCATCCAAACTGAAACTCTGTACTCATAAACTGTAACTACTAACTCCCTACTTCCCATAGCCCATGGCTGCTACCATTCTACCTTCTGTCTCATGTAAGTGGAATCATACATTATTTATCCTCTTGTGCCTGGCTTATTTCACTGAGCATTTTTCAAGATTCATCCACGGGATCAGAATTTCATTAGTTTTTAAAGGCTGGATAATATTCCACTGTCTGAATACACTGCATTTTGTTTATTAATTTATTCACTGATGGACATTTGAGTTGTTTCCATTTTTTGCCTATTATGAATAATGCTGCTGTGAACACTGCTGAACACATATATAGTCAAATCTCTACTTTCTTTTGTGTACAAACCCAGAAGCAAAATCATGGGATTGTATGATAATTCTATGCTTAATTCTTTAAAGAACTGCCATACCATTTTCCACAGCAGTCACAGCATGTTATGTTTCCACCAACAATGCACAAAGGTTCCAGTTTATCTATATCCTTGTCAATGCTTGTTTTCTGTTTTTATGATAAGCCATTTTATTGGGTGTGAAGTATCTCATTGTGAAGTTGATTTGCATTTCCCTAATTATTTGTGATGTTGAGCATCTTTCCTGCGGTTATTGGCCATTTATACATCTTCTTTGGAGAAATGTCTATTCAAATCCTTTGCCCAATAATTGGTTGTATATACCCAATTTGGTTTTTGTTGTTGAATTTTAAGAGTTCTTTATATATTCTGGGTATTAATCCCTTATCAGATATATGATTTGAAAACATTTTCTCCCATTGTGTAGGTTGCCTTTTCACTCTATGAATAGTGTCAATTGATGCACACTGTTTTAATTTTGATGAAGTCCTAATGTGTCTGTTTTTTCTTTCTTTCTTTCTTTTTTTTTTCTTTGAGTCTGCTTTTTCTATTGCTGCCTGTGCTTTTGGTGTCCTACTGGAGAAATTAATGCCAAATCCAATGTCAGGAAGCTTTCCCTCTACGTTTTCTTCTAAGTTTATAACTTTAGCTCTAACCTTTAGGTCTTGAATCCATTTTTAATTAACTTTTGTATACTGTGTAAGGTAAGGGTCCAACTTCATCCTGTGGCATGTGAATTTCCAGTTTTCCCAGCATTATTAGTTGAAAAGACTGTCCTTTCCCCATTGAATGGTCTTGGCATCCTTGTTGAAAATCATTTGACCATATACGCAAGGATTCATTTCTGGACTCTCTGTTCTATTTAACTGGTCAATGTGTCTACCTTTTGGCGGGGGGCTTTCTTTTTTTTAATTAATTAATCTTTTAATTGAAGGATAATTGCTTTACAGAATTTTATGGTTTTCTGTCAAACATCAACATGAATCAGCCATAGGTGTACATATGTCCCCTCCCTCTCAAACCTCCCTCCCATTTCCCTCCCCATCCCACCCCTCTAGGTTGATGCAGAGCCCCTGTTTATCTTTATGCCAATACCATATTGTTCTTTTTTTAACTGAGATACAATTGACATTAAGTACTGCATTGCTTTGATTACTATAGCTTTGTATTAAGTTTTGAAATCAGAAAGTGTTTGAGTCCTCCAACTTTGTTCTTTTTCAAAATTGTTTTGGTTATTTGGGGGTCTCCTGAGAGTCTATACATTTTAGGAAGAGTTTTCCTATTTCTGCAGGAAATATCTTTGGGATCTTGATAGTGACTGTGCCAAATCTGTAGATTGCTTTAGGGAGTATTGACACCTTAAAAATATTAAGTATTTCAGTCCACGGATATGAATATCTTTTCATTTATTTGTATTGTCTTTAATTTCTTTCAGCAATATTTTGTAGTTTTCAGTGAATAAGTGAAAAATGGGTTCTAAAAGCAAGCTGAATTACTCTATTACTCTGGAACTACTGTATAGAAGACTTGAATAGGATTTCTTCTAGCTCTAAACTTCTATGATTCTCTAGTATTTAATCTAGCCTTGAAGTTAACTAAATTTTTACTAATTCTTGGCCAGAATAGTACTACAGATTCAATTAACTATTTACTGAAACTGTTACCTTCCAGGCACTGTTAAAAATACAGTTCACTAAAGAGAAACATTCTTCCTTTGAATCTCCATTTTCAATTTCCAGATTTAAAACAAATCAGTTTCCTCAAAAGACTTACTTCTTCTGGATTGAACGTTGTATTAGAACATTCAACAACTGATTAGGAGAATCAGAGGATTTCAGTTAACTTCCAAATATCATTTATTTTTCTTAAGTAATATGTTCTATTCATCTTTAAATGGAGGATATAGAAACCAGATGCTCAACAGGAAGGTTTGTATCATGCATATGATTACACGGACCACAGAGAAATTTGGGCCAGTGTATCTGAAATCAGAATTTCAGGTTAAATCTCCTACGTTCAGCTGAACCTCACTCAGCTCAGTACGTCTGTCTCTCCATCACAACTCTGTATCACTAATCCTCAACAGATATCTTACAGAGTCCACTCATTCAGCCTAACAGGCGTTGCTCTGTACTAGGCAACTATATTAGATGCTCAAGAAGCAGGACCAGGAGAGCAAGTAGAGATGTCCTAATATATCCCAACCTTCGTCATTAGAAAAACAAATCCAAAATCGTATGGTAAGTAGGTCAGGAGAAACAGTTTTATGTACAAAGGATAGTGCTTTGAGAACAGACTAATCCAAAAGCGACATGCATCTCTCTATAAAGTCAGGCCCCAGCTGGAATGCTGCTTTGCATCAACATTTACCAAGATCCCTCAGACACATAGACCTAAAGCAGAAAGGAGAAGCACTCCAATTTCCCCCACCATAAAAACCTAAATTAAATCTTGAAAATCTCTCATGTTCAAACCAGAAGCCTGCTTAATTTTTCCTTATTTTAAGAAAGGGAAAACTGGGGTTAAAAACAGCAAGTCAATAACACTGGAATGAATTCCAATCTGTTACAGGAAAATTAGGTACTAAACCTGAAGTGCTCTGGCCTGAGCCGCTGATTAGCTGAGCACATGGAAAAAAGCTAACAAACAGGCTGTTACAGAAACAGCAGTTATGAGATAAATTTTCCCTTGGCTTATTTTTCTTACAGTTTACTATATTCTTTACTTTTCCTCTGCCACGTCACACAATTTTCAGGAAACACTGGGGAAAATGTAGAGCCACGATCCAGCAACTGAAATAAAGATTCAGCTTCAGATGACAATGGAACCTGTGTCACTTGGTTGACCATTCAGAAGAGGGTAGAAGCTCATTCATTCCAACAATTACAAAGTTATACAGAAACAAAAACCTTTTCAAATCAGGGAAAAACTAAAATTCTTTTGAAAATAAGACATTTAATTGCAATCAGAATTATTCTGCCCATAATCCAAGAGAAGAATTTTTTATTTTGCTTTGTCTTTGGCACACATGTGGACAACTTGTACAAACAGGTTAGCCCAGGAGAAATTAAAAGAAGACACAGAGAAGAAAACTACAAAGGAAACATTTAATTTTCCCTACACTCAGTACTTTCAGGCATCTCTAAAGGCATGAGCATTATATTTTATATCAAATTACTTATCCTCTCCACTGCAGGGCTCTCAAGGCAGAACTGTTTCAGTTCCCCTGAAGCCACTGGTACAGTGCCTTATACACTCAAGGCATTCAAGTATGTACTGAGTCAAACTATTCATTGTATCAAGTTCTGCTCCACAAGAGTCACCAGAAAGAAAAATACTTGGAAGACATAGATAACAAATTAAAAGGAAGCATGGTGGGATTTTGAAACAAAGTCTTAGAACACGCAAAATTTCATACCAATGGCAGAAATATTTTACTTCTGTGTAACTTAAGATCTACAGGCTTTTGTGAGGCCACCATGGAATGAAACGCACACACATGTTCTCTTTTTTATAGGTAAATAATGAATGAACTAAAGAGTAGCCATCTTTAAAAAAAATAAACAAATAAACTCAATCATTTTGCCCTGGGCAGGTTGCAGGAAGTAAAAAAAGAAATACTAAGAACTCTGTTAAAATGAAATCATTGTGCTCATACTCAGTCGCTAAGTCGTGTCTGATTCTTTTGCAACCCCGTGGGCTATAGCCCACCAGGCTCCTCTGTCCATGAGATTTTCTAGGCCAGAAAACTGGAGTGGGTTGCCATTTCCTCCTCCAGGGGATCTTCCCTACCCACGGACTGAACCCATGTCTCCTGCATCTCCAGCACTGGCGGGAGGATCCTTTCCCACTGAGCCACCTGGGAAGCCCCAAATGAAATCATAAACAGTCCTAACTATGTTATTAGCCTCAGAAAAAGGCTTAAAGTAAGTCCTTCCTTTGTGAATTTACTACCAAGCAATAGGAAGCCAGGCTAAAAATCACTTAGCTTTTCTTTAACCACAAGCTACAAAAATGAATGACTGAGTGAATCAATAGATGAACTTATTAAGACTTCATTCAGCATTCACTATAAACCAGTGCTTCTAATATTCATGGGGTAGGACTGGATTTTAAGCATTTCCTGTCTGTTGCAAACTGATATTCTCACAAAACATAATAAAAATGCCAGAAGGCTGAAAGTGAAAGTCGCTCAGTCCCGTCCGAATCTTTGAGACCCCATGGACTGTAGCTGGCCAGGCTCCTCTGTCCATGGAATTCTCCAGGCAAGAATACAGGAGTGGGTTGCCATGCCTTCCTCTAGGGGATCATCCCAACCCAGGGATTGAACCTGTGTCTCCCTCATTGCAGGCAGATCTTTACCTTCTAAGCCACCAGGGAGCCCCAAAATGCCAAAGCAATATCTAAAGTTTGGTGCACACTTCTCTACCTGCCATGGACCAATAACAAACTTTGCAAATAGGCAGCCATCAGCTGTTTCCTCGAATCCACACACATTCAACACACTACCTAAGACAGAGAAAGGTAGGGTGTATGCCTACCTTCTGCTCCGGCACCTCAAACACTGCTTCATGGACACTGCAAGCAAAAAGTGAGGTAGGCAGGTCACTTAAATCCATCATCTCTTCCAAGTCGTCTTCATTTTCACCAAAAACCATCTCTTCTTCCTCTTCATGGTCAGTGCTGCAAAGATCTGACTGGCTATCATTCCAAGACTTCATAGCGTCCCTCAGCATTTTCCTCTAAAAGCAGGTCTTCTCCGTTTTTAAAGTTCAAAGATGTCTACCAGGCATCAACTGTTTAAAAAAAGAGAAAACAACAAAGATATTGAAGGTCCAATAATGTTCCAATCAGTTCTCAAGACAGCAGTTCATCAAATGAGGCAATTTTATTCAGGAAAGATCAATCAACGTTGAAATCAACTCATCACGGTCCTCAGCAATGAATTCTATATATACTAATTTGATTTGCTTAGCATATTTTACATAAGATATTTCACAGGCAATGACTTATAAAAAAAAGGCTGGAAGTTTTCTAGTGAAATGAGGTGGCAGGGGCGGGGGATAATACAAAATGAGATACTATTAACATATACACCAGTTTACAAGCAGGGGGAAGGAAAATGTGAACCAGAACCTCCTTCACATATTTGTTTGGGATTTAAGTCCACAATACTGAAACTTGGCAGAGCAGAAGAAAACCCACACGGATTCACTCACCATCTGCACCCTGAAATATAGCCTGCAATGAGCTGACTTCACCTTTTTTAACCAATCTGTTCTTTTGAATATACTCTCGAAGAACTAAATTACACAGAACCGAAAGCTCTATATAAAGTCAGTCTTTGTTAATATCAGAAATATTTACTACAGACAAAATCTGACATAGAAGACATGTAAAAAATGTCCTCTCTCTGAATGCTTAAAAATATATCATTTTACCAGCATGGAGTGGATAGTGTCCCCCTGTTAAACAGTGAACAGTGACTGCCTTATAAGACTGTTTTAACCCATTTTTATCTCTTCTGATGAATTGCACACAACACTCACCAGGCAGGTGCCTTGACCATAACACATTTCAAGACGCTGGAATTTAAGTCATACCTATCAGGCACAGGAAAATTAAATAAGCATGATTATTACTACCTCAATATTATCTAATTTGTGATTTTTCTCTTTTATTTTAAAGAACATGAAGTTGCAAATAGATTGCTTACATAGAGTACAATATAAAATGTTAATTATGGGGAAAAATAGTGATTTTTCCCGTTATTCCACTATATCAATCAGGAAAGGCTAATTCTAAAAAGTAACTCTTCACTTGTTTTTATAAACATTTTCCAAATATATACTGCATGCCAGGTACAGGGAGATATGAGATGAATAAAGCATGGTTCCTACCCTCAAGGAGCTCCCACCCAGCAAGAATTTCTCCTCACCACCACCACCCACCTCAAAAGGATCTTGGCACCAACACATTTTTTGTTTTCTGTGTGTGTGTGTTTTTAATTTGGCTGCACTGGGTCTTAGCTGCAGCATGAGACTTTTTTTTTTAATTGGAGGATAATTGCTTTACAATGTTGCGTTGGTTTCTGCCATACGACACCATGAATCAGCCGTAGGTACACATAGGTCCCCACCCTCCTGAGCCTCCGGCCCACCCCGCATCCGATCCCACGCCTCCAGGTTGTCACTGAGCACCTAGCTGAGCTCCCTGAGTTACAGAGCAACTTCCCACTGGCTGTCTATTTTGCATATGGTAATATGTATGTTCCGACGCTACTCTCAGTTCCTCCCTCCCTCTCCTTCCCCCTGCGCCCCCACCCTGTCCACAAGCCTGTTCTCTACGTCTGCGTCTCTATTCCTGCCCTGCAAATAGGTTCATCAGTACCATTTCTCTCGATTGCATATATAAGCATTATTATATTTTTCTCTTTCTGACTTACTCCTTTCTATATGAAGGCTCTAGGTTCAGCCGTTCCACTAGAACTGATTCAAATTCATTCCTCTTCACAGCATGTGAACTCTTAGTTGTGGCATGTGGTATCTAGTTCCCTGACCAGGGATCAAACTCGGGTCCCCTGCATTGGGAGTGCAGGCTCTTAACCACTGGCTCCTATATATTTTTTCCCTTTAAACACAGATTTATTCTCTCACTGTTTTAGAGCTCAGACTTTTTTTTTTCCTCTTTGGCTGCCCTGCACTGCATGTAGGATCTTAGTTCCCTGACCAGGAATCAAACCTGTGCCTCCTGCATTAGAAGCACACAGTCCTAACCACTGGACTGCCAGGGAAGTCCTGCCTCCTATAGTTTTAATGTATCCATCTCCACCCATTCTTTCTTCTTTCTTAGCAAACACACTTCTTCCTGAGTTCCTGCCCCCACCCCACCCCAGTCTTGAAAAAAGAAAAATCTTCTATTTGAAGTCTGCCTGCCCCTCAATCCACCTTCCTCTGTCCCTGCTTCCCCTTTCCTAGGGGCGTCCTGGAAAGAGGCCTCTCCCTGACTCCCATCACCCCTGAATTCCCAGCAGCTGGACTCCTGCCGCCACCTTCCAGTTGAACCGGCCCCGACTGGCCAGCAGCAGCCTCCTTGGGTTGGCACCTGCCTCCGGGCAGCCCCCGGTCCCACCCGTCCACCGTGGGATGTCTCCGCGCCCCCGCCTCCCGCAGCCCCGTCTCTCCCAGCTCTCCTTCCTCCGCATCTGTCCTCACAGTGGTCCTCTCTCTCCACTCACCCTTTACAACTCTGTCTCCTTGAGGTTTCAACCCCATCCTCTTCGTCATCTTACTCTTCCTGAGCTTTTATCCACGCCCCAGCATTTAACTACTCCGCCACCAGTGTTTCTCAACGTGTTTCCTGCTTCCCTGTGGTTCACCCGCGTGACACGTGTCTATCAAGACGGTCTCTCGCTTCCGACAATTATTCTTAAGCCAGGAAAGATGTCACCAAAGTGAAGGGGGAAGCAGGATCTTGGGCACTGGAGGGGATGGTGGTTTGAAAAACAACGTGACCCTGAGAGATTCTAATCTGCCCCCAAGTCCTTCCTGCCTGTGCACACGGAAAATCACAGGTCTGTGTGAGTTACATACAGGGACTCCGTCTCTCTCTCCTGAGATCTAGACTTGCAGACTCGTTTTTTTAGCTTTCCACTGAATATGCCTAACTGGGTAGCCCACAGGCACTACAACTGTTCAAAACTTCTTCCAGTAGATTATTGTGCTGGAAATCTCCAATCAGGAAAGGGGCCTGATGGGGGCACGTGGCATCTCACTGTGACTTTCGTTGCAACCTTTTCTTCAAGACTAAGTTGTGGAGGGTAGTCTGTAGCTTTCACAGCACTTTGCTCATTTCACTGTTACAGTACTTATGATTGTTTGTTCACAGAGCACTCTTAGCTAACAGAGCATGAGTGCCTTTGGACCCCAGTCCCTGGCCCAGTTTCTGGCTCACAGTATATGCTTCATAAGGATGGCTGAATGAAAGCAGATAACACTGTGATACGGCAGCACACACAAAGGAAAATTTCATTCTGCACGAGGATGAAAGACAGCTTCTCGGAAGAGAATTTCAGCAAGACAAGAATGGGGTGCATTCCAGGCGAAGCCAACAGTCCATGGACAAAGGCGGGGAGACAAAAAGGTCAGCAGGCAAGAGATATAAGATCTGATGTGGCCGGAGTGGACCATGTTTGGTGGTCTGGCAGGAAACACAGTGAGAAAGGTGGGTTGGGCCAGGCTGCCTCGAAAGTAGGGTTACAGAGATCCGACATAAAAAGTAGTCAATTCTAGGACTTCCCTGGTGGTCCAGTGGTTAAGAATCCGCCTGCCATTGCAGGGGACACCGATTCGATCCCTGGTCCATGAAGACTCCACATGCCGCAGGGCAACGGACCCTGAGCACCACAACCGCTGAGGCTGCGCTCTGGAGCCGGAGCTCCCCAGCTAGAGAAGGCAGCACAATGAGCAACGCACACCCCACAACCAGAGAAAGCCTGTGCGCTGCGATGAGAGCCCAGCGCAGACAAAAGGAAATATAAATTTAGGAATTAGCCAATATTAGCGTGGTATTGAAGGTTTTAGGCAATTAAACTTCCAGTATCACTAAAAGTGGGCGGTCTTTTTAGCTCTTAGCTCTCAGAGACACTAAAGTTTTATTCCCCGCCCCATTAAAAAGAGGCAAGGAAAACACGATTTGGTTGGAGACTCAGGGAGCTCTGAATGGCTAGATTTTAAAATTTGAGAAAGTCAAGCTATGTTTGGTAAGATTTTCTATTGGTCTCAAGTACCTTTTTCCAACCTCCGAAAAGAAAAAAAAAAACAACACAAAAATCAGGGCACAAGAAACAATCCTTCACCTGACTTAAAAGAAAAAATTCTTAGAATGTTACACCTTCATTTCCTGTTTTCTACCTTCATTTCAGGGCAACTTTTTCTTTTGATATAATTTCAAACAGAAAAACTATAAGAATCGTATGAGAAATTCCTGTATACCCTTTTCTCGGAGTTACCAATTTCTTACATTTTGACTCATTTTAAAAATCATTCCCTCATTTTTCTATATACATGTTTTTCCCTGGAACCATTGAGATTAAGACAGTATTGCTCCTTTCACTCTCAAATACTTCATTGTATAAGAACAGGATCATTTTCTTGTATAATCCACAGTTCAATTATCAAAACCAAGTACTTTAACAATGATATAACACTGTTACTGAAATCAGAGTCTATTTTCAAGTTTTGCCAGTTATCCCCTATAACTTACATAGGTTATTTTATAGATATTTCCCCTTCAATTTTTTTTAGATAATTGTTAAATTATTTGCCTTTCATCAAAAATTATTTCAATAATCTTTACAGTATTGGTACATTTTCTTCACTTAAACATTAGTGTATATTTGATACAGTTTAAACGGATGGATTAATGAAATCCCATAGTAACTACAAATAAGTCTAAACAATCTTTAAATATGTATCTCAGGAAGATTTGGGCTCGATAATCAGAATTTTCTAGATTTAAACTCTGTCTCCTGCCCCCAGCACTCCTGACCCAGGGATCGAACTCACGCCTCTTGCATCCTGCATTGGCAGGTGGAGTCTTTACTGCCGCGCTGCCTGGGAGGCCCGCCCCAGTATTCGATATTAGGTACCTTAGTTTGCCTCCTTTCCTGTTTCCTCAACTATAAAATGGGGGTAATAATAATCCTTATCCAATAAGGATATTATGAGTACTAAATCAGAGAATACATATTGGTTGCTCAGAATGATGCTTTGCATGTAGTTGGTGCTCAATAATTAATTATTTTTACATAGGCACGATCTATGCCGACATATTTTTGGGTGGAAAGGATCCCAATAATATCAGAACCTTTGACGGAACTGATATTAAAATTACAATATGAGAAAAATACACACCCAAATGATCTAATGCCAGGCAACAAAAAAGGACACAAAAATAAAGCTACAAAAACAAAACTAACACTTTGAATCATTTCAAGAAAACTGTTCAGTCACAACTATCAATAAAACCAGCTCCAGGGCAACCACTGGTACGGTGATATAGTTCCAATGTGAAATCATGTAAAGATTTAAAAACATAGAGCTAGCTGAAAAAGTCCACAGTGCACTTTTCAAGGACCTCAAAGAACATTATGTTGTGATTCAGCGCATGTAGTATTAGAGACATTATCTTTCTCCTGATGGTTCTCTTGCTAAAGAATTTTTTTTGGATATAGCTTAAGCCAACATTGTCAACCATTTCATAATTTTCTGATATTACAAATGCAGCTAGATGTGAACAGAGATATGATCGGAATCAACCAGTGGAAAAAACAATCTTAGCACATCTGTAAAGAAATCATAAGTTATTTCAGCTGGTACTTAAGAAATAGCTTGATTTTATTAAGAAAAAAATTTACAGAAGTACACTGGAGTCTGGTAATTCTGCTCTGGTGCAACTCCTACAAGACTAAGGTGTCTCTCAATTTCCTAACTCAGGGAAATAGGATTGGAAAGGGCTGGACCAATATCAGCTTTTATAAGCAAAAGTCTGTGGTAATCAGGGTCTAGCATCATCTGCAGCACAACTGTAGCTGTGGCTGGCTTCTAGCAAATTGTTTCCTCATGGAAATATTAAATGAGTGGAAAACTCCAAGTAGCATGACCATCTGCTCGGATACAAGTCTTGTGACAAAAGTAACCATCAAGGGAAAATGTCAAGCACATGAATCTGACTTTGCATTTTAAATTCTGATCAGGAAAAGGTAAATTCCTCTTCCAAGATTAAAATATAATAATAATTTTTCAAAATAGTATGCTTCTCAACTTGGCGAATATTTAACATACCTTAGCTAGATGCAATTTATTATTTTCTGATGTGATCAGTCAACACTGGAAGCAAACAAATATCTCATTTCCAGCTCCACAAGTGCCCTACTGAATAACCTGGGAAAAATCATCTGGCTTTTTGAGTTACATTTGTCCTCTCAATATAAAATGAGCAAAATACTCAGAGATGTTGTTGAACTATTAAATACCTTTTTAAAATTTCCATATTATAAGTTTAGACTAAATTCTCCCCCCCCAAAAAAAGAACCTTCTGGATTGTCAGTGTGAGGGTTTCAAATAGTTATCTTGTAAGTCTGTTATCTTCCACTTCCTCCCCATTCACTACTTGCAGGCAGAAAATCTTACTACTTTCTAGTAGTTGTGGTAAGAAAAAAAAAATGGTGCCACAGTAAAGGCGAAAATTAGATTTTGAATTTTGTATGTTTCAACGACCTATGCCCTCTTTTCATATGTAATTCAGAAATGGTCCTGTTATAATTACTGAGATGCAGTGAAGTACTTTTCAGTGGGAGAGAGAAATAACAATAACCAACTGACAGAACAAATGAAAGTAACTGGTTTTAAAGAACTGAAGTAGAGATATAAGGACTGATGCTATTTCTTTCACAGCATAGAATTCATTTCCCCTCACTATAAGCTCTACATTTGAGGGGAAAAGTGGAGATCCACTGTCTGACCTCCACCTCCTGTGGTTCTCTAGGTCTAGATAATAAATGGCATTGAACTTTAGAGCTCCCATTATTTCACAGACTTCAGCCTAATGGATTTCCAAATCACACTATTTTTCATGATGCTTTGCTGAAGTCTTTCAACCACTATATCCTCCAGCACCATACACAATCTGTACTCATTTGTAACCATTAACATGCACATGTTTAAAAGTTTTACAAATGTTATAATTCAACAGTGGAAAAAAATCTTGCCTTCTCGAAAAGCACTGAAATCTCTTCCCACTCTAAGAAAGAAGTTTTGCTAACCCAGTAAAACAAAGCTGACAGCGTGGCTAAAGAAGGGGAGCTGAGTTTTCAAGCCTTTCACTGTCTTCCTGCGTCAAAAATCAATTTCCAGAAAACCAATACAAAATCCCCATCAAAAAGCACGACCATCGAGTGATACACAAACATCTATATTCTGAGTCTCAATATTCTGTGTTTTATAATTTAGTATTTTGAACCACAACTAATGAAACACTCTTAAAATTAATCATTTTAAATCCTGTGTAATCACAGCTACAACAAGTCATGCGTGTGTTCTCCATCAGTTCTGACTCTTTGTGAGCCCATGGGCTGTAACCCGCCAGGCTCCTCTGACCATGGGACTTTCCAGGCAAGAATACTGGAGTGGGTTGCCATTTCCTCCTCCAGGGGATCTTCCCGAGTCAGGGATCGAACCTGCGTTTCCGGAGTCTCCTGTACCGGCAGGCAGATTCTTTACTAGGGAATCCCTCAATCCATTATCAAACCGTACATGTGAGACTCTATGAAATGCAGAGACTTCCAGGCTTCCGCAGTGGCTCAGCAGTAAAGAATCCGCCTGCCAATGCAGGAGACGTGGGTTCCATCCCAAGGTTGGGAAGATCCCCTGGAGAAGGAAATGGCAACCCACTCCAGTATTCTTGCCTGGAGAATGCCATGGACAGAGGAGCCCGGCAGGCTACAGTCAGTCCATGGGGTCGCAAAGAGTGGGACACGATTTAGAGACTCAACAACAACAACAGGTAACTTTCAATAAGAGGGAGTTAATACTTTTTTTTTTTTTTACAGGATTTGTGTCATTTATTTTTTTTCCATTTATTTTTATTAGTTGGAGGCTAATTACTTTACAACATTGCAGTGGTTTTTGTCATACATTGAAATCAATTAGCCATGGATTTACATGTATTCCCCATCCCGGTCCCCCCTCCCGAGTTAATACTTTTGAGCATCACGTTAAACAATTCTGTTATCTGCAACACGGATCGGAACTGCTCCGTGCCCTAGACTCCTAATCTCCTGAAGGAGATGATCAGATTTTGCACGGAAGCTGAGACGA